TTCAGGTGAGGTCGGAAAACGGCGGGGCTCAGAAAAAATGATGGAACACACTTAAAGCGAGGAGTTGGGAGAACATGAACACACAAAAAAGACATGCAGAACCTTGCGATGTCAGCACACACAGTCACGCATAAGAATAAAAGAATAAAACAAACGCCGGGAAGAAAAAAGACGCTTTCATTTCGGTTAATTGCAGCTTGTTCCAATCAAGCTTACAAGACTATCTCTTTGGTTTACTTCAGTATACATTTACAATGAAAAATCTGAAACAAAAACAAACCGTCGCTCCTTCACATGTCGACGCTGACGCCAAATCAGGTGGAGCAACCAAACATGATCAGTTCTTTGCGGCTCAGTTCACATAATCAAGAACTCGTTTAGGCACTAGATCTATCCAACAACTGGAGCACAAACATTGACAGCACCTGAAGCCTCCTCGCAGCGGCGTCTGAGCATGTGCCAGGAAACAACAGATGCCACCAAAGCAAATGTTGGAAGTGCAGCGCTCGGCTAATGAGAGGATCTGCAGGCCGTTTTCCAGGTGACTTATGTCGCTGCATCTCAGCCGGGGGGCAGGGATGAGCGAAGCCCCATCGATCCGGTGTTTTGCAACCCCATCGATCCTTCCGCACGGATCCTAGCAGTCGTATATAGGTCAAGCCAAAGCATGTGGGTTCGAATTTAATTAATGCTAATGAGCACTGGGCAAAAATAAACAACCGACTGGGACCTCCTCCATCTTATTGGGTGTCAACGTTTCACAAGATTATTCCGTGAAGAAACGCAGCATCGTGGCTGCCTGACATGCTCAATATGATCGGTGTTCATTAAAGTGAGGCAGGCCTGAATGTTTTAGGAAAATAAGAACTGTTGGGTTAATGAGATTTGCCCACACACTGCTGCGGGGGAAAAAACAACAACAACAACTTTGGATTATTTGGAGGATGTGCAGCAGAACAAACAGATCAAAGGTCATCAAGTCAAAACGGTTCGATTGCTTACGTGGCGTCCACAGAGACGGGTTCTCGACATATGCTGAAAATATATATCCACACGTTTAGAAATAAATGCAAAACCGTGATGTGTGCCACAGATTTGACTTTCTTTCCTTCCTCTTAATTTGCTAATTCCCCCCCAGTGCTCTAATTAAAGACGAATCATTCCATTTCAAAAAACCTGAAAACGTAAAAGAAACGTGAGAACAACAACTGTTTTTTCTGTGACACCACAACAGAGGAGAAAACGGAAGGTGCTCATTTATCTCACTGCTCCACCCGAATGCAGAAATGTGTCGGCAGAAAGAGAGAGAGAGAGGAAGGGCGACCTTGGAAAAAACAACAACAACATATCTTTCACACATCAAGGATCGCAGCCTTTGTGTATTTCACCAGTTTATTATCTCTGACTGATGACATGGCTTCCCACAGTCTGAATGGGAGACTCGTGCTGAATGGATTTGACTGAAAAATGATTGAAAAGACACACTGCAGTTAATTAATGGCGCTGGGCTGTGCTGATATAACGAGAGGGTCGGAGTCCTATTAAGCTTCAGGTGCACAAGAGTTGGAAACAGAGGCTTTTAGAGTCATTGTTGGAAACTCATGAGTCATTATTATTCTAATATGTTCTCATTTATTTTAACCTGTCGTTCTTTATGGACTTCGATAACACTTTTAATAATTAGAAGAAGATCAGTAATCTCTAAGAGTAAATGTGACTGAATTGAAAAAAATAAAAATAAAAAGGTTTTGCAGGTTTTCACGGCCTTTATCTGGCCGTTGTCTGACAGGACGGACCGGGCCGAGATTCGGACCTGTGACGGCCGCGACAAGAGCTGCCATCACACTGCGGCCTGAAGTGGCCCAATTCAGATTTTTTCCTGTCAAATTGGATTTTCTTGCCGTGGTCGTTCACACTTTCAGATAAATGCGACCCGTATTTGTCCTCCGGTGTTAACGGGCAAACGACCTGAAAGTGTCCCGCATGCGCACTGGAGGGCGCAACGGCGACAGTGTGCGCAGCATTTTACCATCAGTCTCTGCTGAACGATGCAGGGTTTTAAACATGATGACCTGTTCTCCATAAAATGGACATAAATCCGTTTTGTTAGTATTTTAATCTTTAAAGAGGCAATAAAACCCATGTGAAATCAGATACAGTTTGTCTAAAGTTACATCAGGTACAACATCTTTACAAAGTACAGCATCTGCCACGAACTTAATTTTGTTTTATTCTCGTTTCTAAAATGGGGAGACATTTGATCATTTGCACGTATTGAAATAGCTTAAAGTTTATACCACTCTGGAGCCAATTACAGCCTCAATCCAATAACATTCTGTATTACAATAATTTTTAAGTGTTTTTTAAAGATCTTTTCTCTTTTTAAAAGTGCATGTCTTCACTAATTCGCCTAAACTTTGAGAACAAGATTTACTTTTTCTCTCAGCAGCTATTGCAGTTTCTTCCACTTAATCTAATTTCACATAATTATCGCAGAGCAGCCATTGCAGTGAAGACATGTACAAAAGGGGATTCATTCATGTCAGCACCGAATCATCTATCATTCCTAAGCAACTCCATGTGTGCAGCACACCTACTATCATAAGTATCATTTGTAATTAGCATACATTATGCCAGTGCCAGTATCACTGTTCATTCTAACATCACAAGGAGTGACGAAGTAAAAATCATCATCTGGATGTTGAAATGCAGAGTATTACATAAATTTTAAGTGCCATTTTATTTCAACTATTTGAAAGTGACATCAGTTGATAAACAAGAAATTTAACATCTTATATTAGTAGCAGCAGCCATCAACAGGAAGAGATGAATCTTTAATAGTTATAAGGAAACAATACAGAAATTGTTTTTCCATGTGTAACAGCATTTCGTTTGCAATATTCAGTGTTATTTAAAATATATGTACATTTATCTATCATGCCAGTTTGGTGCTCTTGGGGGGCCTAAGCAGCCGCTTAGCTCGCGTTGGCCTTGGGCCGGCCCTGGCAGCGACCTCAATTGCTTTTTCATTATTGCAAAACAAAGATATGAACAAGACACAACATCTATATGGTAATGTTTTCTGACGTAAGGCGGTAGTAGGAAAAGCGCCGCATCAGCAGCAGCAGCAGCAGCAGCAGCAGCAGCAGCAGCTGAAGCCTCGGTGTGACTTTCAGCTAACGACGTAGTGGCCGATGCCGAGGCACTTCATTACAAAGCTGCTCCGCCGCTGGCCGAGGCAGCTACTTAAAGTAATGGGAGAAACTGTGTCCTGGCACTGCTCTCTCTCTCTCACACACACACACACACACACGCAGGCACACACACTGCCTGCATACATCATTACCCCCACCGCCACAAGTTCCTGCTCTTCCCACAATCGCTGGCTCCCATCTCTTACTAAAAAAACAAAGAAAATTCATTTCTTCCTCCTGCACCTTTGAAACAAGACTCATGCCTCTTTTAACGTCCCCGCTGATTAATGGCGTGTGAGAGGAGAAGCAGGGACCCGGAGGGAGGGGGGAGCAGGTGGGTTAGAAAGGTGCAGGGTGTTAGATAAGTAGTCGGCGAACACCTTAAATGGAGTGTTTAATGAAGCTTCATGTTGGAGAAGAAGAGAGAGAGAAATGACAAAGTGACCTCTCATGAGAACTTGTTGCAAATGTGTTTGCCCTTTGTGATCTAACATCGTCAAAAATATGCCTTTTTTTTATTATTTATCGTACAAAACTTGCAGTTGCCCTGTTTCGTCCACGTTGTCCACAACGTTTGGCATGTCACAAACTTCAATATGTCTGACTGGGATTTTATGTGGTTTTAATTTCGGGTCCTAAAAAGTTCAGACTGAGGTTCACCGTCCAGCAGGAGAGCAACTCTTAATATGCAACCATAGCAATAATGGCATTGCAGTCAAAATCCAGAATGAAAGCCAGTTAAGAATCTAAAGTTATAGTATATCATTTTAATAAAGAATATGTTTTTCACGTATTTAGTAAAACAGTCACCATCTTGTGGTGTCGACAGATAATCTGTGAAAAGGTCAAACTATTCCTCCTCCTCCTTGAGCTACTATTGCCATCTGAAGAAATACACAGCTCCTGACCAAAGACAACCAATCAGAGCCAGGAGGTGGGTCTCAGCGCTGTCAATCAAACTCATGTACTCGCTGCTCGATGTGCTAATGGTGGAGAAATAGCTCGGCATTACAGGACAACCTTTTCATCCGCCATGCTAACTAGACTGACCATTCACAACAAGCTGCAGGGTACCAGAGAGCGAGGGGGGGAAGGGAAAAGCAGCGCCATATGAAATTCTAATTGACAGCGCTCCTGGCTCTGATTGGTTGCTTCTAGTTAGCACAGGGAGCACTGGAAGAAGGCAGAGGAGATGCTATAAAAATTACATAAGGCAGCATTAAGGTAAAAGTCTAGTTTCTAAAGGTGTGAAACTAAAGAAATAGTGGCAAATACAACACATGCCAAGTTTTTAAGAAATCAATTTGGAAAATAAATAAATTTCCCCTCTGCTTCAGAGGTTTGTACCCTTTTGAGTTGGTCTACCACATAAAATCCAAACGCAACACATTGAAGTTTGCGATTCACATGTGTCAAAATGTGGAACTGTTCAAGTCAAATGACACTGCGCACACTGCGTACATGACCATATCTATAATGAGTTCCTGTCCCAATACTTTCACACATCCAACCAGTTCTTGAATTGTCTGCTCAGTGCCTGTAGAGGGTCTACCTTGAACACTTATACTGACCCTCAAGCAAACCTGGCATGAGACACAAAGCAAAAAAAACAACAAAAAAACACAAAAATCCTCTGAGGAGTTTCAGAACATCCATCATCAAGCTTAAAGGAGAGGCGCACGGTTTCTGGGAGGCTGCAGACGCACAAACACACCACGCAGCAGAGATAAGATGGGTTGTTACAGCACTTCTCTACGGGGACGAGAAAACGGTGGAAGGAGGTCCCATGCATCAATATTGTCTTACCTCGTGTTTTGCCAGCCAAAGTCTCATCCCAGCTTCTCAGAAGTAGCATGGTGGTGCGGCCTGGGACTCCTCTCTCCCTTTCATAGCCTCAGACTGAGCGAGGCTGGGGAGGGAAAAATCAACACCAACCAAAAGACAAGATGAGTATCGACCGGCAGCAGCTTCTGGATTTTTGAAAAATGTTCAGGTTTATGGATTTTTGCTTAATAACGCTGACTGAATAAAAGCAATGCGGCGACTATTGTTAACAGAGGACAGGTTTTTTTATTTTTGAAAAGTAAACCTGTTCTTTTCTTTTCTGCTTTTTGTTTTTTGCTTTAACCAGCTTTGCAATGTTTTCGGTATAAATGGAGTTCAGATGAAGCAAATCAAGATGTTCACAAATCACTAAGTTTAAGGATGAAGCACAGCTGCTTCACTCTTCTATTCTTTCCCCTCCAAATTCAACCTTATTTTTTTAGCTTTGAACGTAAACAAGGAGCCACTCACAAAGTACTTACAGCCGTTTTAGGTAAAATCCTCAGACGGTCAAGGGAGCAAAGCATCAATGTTGAGGTAATTGCGCTCCACTGGAGCGCCGTCACTTCTCCTCCGCGGAAAAAAGATGCTCGGAGAATCTTGTTTTTCTTACGTCTGCCACTCTGTTATTGCAAAGGGAACAAGGAGTACAGAGGGTTAGAAGCAGGCCCCGCTCATTTAAGACTAATAAAGCGGCGATGTGCTTTGGCATGGTGTGCAGACTCCGATCGGCTCTCCTCAGAATGAACAAATCTGGTTAGATGGGTGGGTCGAGTTCAAACGTACAACCGAGAAGTTAAAAGGTTGAGTTAGTTGAACTGCGCGGTTTTGGCAAGGTTTGAGCGTCTAAAGCTGGATATGTGTGGAGAAATGAAATATGAGCATGGAAAAACATGAGCTTAATTATATTTTTTTATTATTATTATTATTTTGGTATCTTTACACAACAATCTGAATTCAACAACCTAGAAACTAATCATTTTGTTGCGATACATATTTAGATCTTGATGGTTATTTATGCATTTTTATTCGTCTCACTGATCATTTCTGATTACAGCAAAACAAACCCATTAAAAAAGAATGAAGGGAGATTTTTAGTTTTGGGTTTCCTTTTGCCTTTACGTACTTTATAGTGGCTACTATAAAGGTTCTTGAACTGGGTTTGGTTTAGATACTAAGAGTAATTGCAATAGTTACTCATTTTGTGACACAAAGGTATCACTTATCACAAACTAACAAAAAAAAAGATCTGTATTTAATCTAAAATACTTCTTTTTTTTTCTTTTTTTTTTAAATAATGCAGATTTGACCATCTTAAAGTTTGACCTGAAAGGAAAAAGAGAAATCTGGAAAATAAATTGTATGCTCTCTCATACTTTGTGGTGGAAAAAAAAAACAACAACAAAATAAAACCCAACTAGGTGAATGGTTTGTACTGAAATGTTCATTATGACATAAAAACTAATGACCAAAATAAAGAAAAATTAAAAGTATGAAGTTTCAAACTGTAAACCTTGAAGGAGCTTCAGATCACTTTCTACATTGCTATGTTGAAAGGAAGCCAAAATGTGAATTATTTTAAATTAGGATCCCCAAAAAGGGGTACAAGTTGACGGAAAAGAAAAAAGAAAGAAAGAATCGAATAAAGCCGATACACATCTCATATTCAACAAACAAGAGTACAAGACCGTCTCAGTCTTAGAGGCGTGTTTGAGCCATACTTTAGGTGAATAAATGATTAAGTGAAAAATGTTAGTGAATAATGAACCAGTCTCTGCGGGGTAACAGATTGTTCTTTTCATATTTAATAGATTGATGGGCCTCACACACACACTCACACAACAGACGAAAACACACATGATCACAAGCACGTCGCCCCACAACAAGCATGGTTGTTTTAAAGCGTATTAAAGCAGAACGATTTTCAGCGGCCACTTGAAGCTCTGAGGCATTTGTCGAACTTTTGTTCTTAGCTCAGTCCTAATCTCGTAAAGAGGCCTAACTGCATTTCTGTGCACTCTGTGTACATCATTTCTCATGGACAGCGTCTCTGTCAATGCGAGTCCTCTTGATCAGCTCAGATGAATTATTGAACAGCCTTTTTATATCAGATCATGACCCATATTCTGTTTTCTTGAAGTGAATATACAGCCGACAAAATCCAGATGGACATTTTTGTTTTTTCCCATTTTGGAGTTGTCCCACACAGGTCAGCAGCTCTGTAACGGGTGAGCGGGATTGAGACGCGAGCGGGCCCGTTACGAGCTTCAGATGGAGCTCTGCGGACTGATTTTCTCATTTAGAACGAGATGATGGATGGGGTCGTCTTGCAGCACTGCACATAAAGCGAATCCGAGGTGTTGGGGGTTTGAAGCTCGCTCTGCGCCGACGGTTCTGCTGCGCACTGTCAGAAGCGGCGGTGAATTAGGATCCTGTGATCCCTAGATGGCACAGAGTGGAAGTCAGTGGAATACAAAACACCTAAGCGGAGGGGTTAGTGCTGGCTCCGTCGAGGCGGGCGCAGCGCTCGGAGCCACAAACAGGAGTTGCTTTGTTGTCTCATTAAGCAGCAGAGAGGCAGAGTGAAAATCAGTAGGAAGACGGGATAGGATTATGAATCTCCTTAGCCCCCGCTGTCTTCTCTCCATCCTGTTTATCAATGAAGACTGCAAACGTGGCGCCTTTAAAATCGCTCAAAGGGAGAGTTGGGAATTGTTCAAGGTTAAAGGTTAGGAGCAGTTCACATTTTGCCTGCAGAAAGTAACTCTCTTGCATCTTTGTCTTGCATAAATTTAGATGAGTCTTTTTGCCCCAGATGCTGAGGCTAGCTTCTTTCTCGCTAACAGTTAGCCAGTCTAACTGAGGCCAAGCCTGAAGTGGAGTTTCATCACTGTGACAAACTCCAATTGCAACAGCGTTGCTGCGGTTTATGCAAATGTCGTTTCAAGACCCACCAACGATTTGTCCCTGTGAAACACTAGTTCAAAATTGAACATGTTAAAATATGCAGAGTAGAGATCAATACAATAAGGTTTGCTTGAACTGCTTTGACTTTTTTTAAGTTGGAAGTGTGCTTTGATTTCGCTCCTTCAACCCTCTGCTGGGTTTAGTCGTGAACTTTTTGTTGGGTTCACTCCTACTAAATCAAAATAGTCTAGATCAGCAAAAATTACACAACCCTTCCAAAAAGCACAGCTTTCCAAGCTTTGCTCGTATAGATTAAAGAAGTATTTGCTTTCAAGTCAAATGTCAAGTCCAGATGACTCAAAAGTACTTTCTGTTACATTCAGTCGTCCATTCATGCACACATTTACACCCTGATGGTAGTGAGCCACAAGCAAGGCAGTTTGACATGGGGTTTGGACCGGCTACAGGTACATTACAGGACACCTAATAAACCTTTATAGCGACTGTCCTAATACACAAGACGTTTTAAATTTATGCAGAATGAAGAATGAACCCCATACAATGCAATCTACTGATAAACAAAACCAACAAAAAAACTCAATAATTAAAAAAATAAAAGAACTTGTCCATATACTTCTAATTATGTTCTAATGGAGAACTTCTATGCAGATAATGAATGAAAGTTCAGAAAAAAAACAACATGAAAAACATTTTCCATCTTTGTTTCTAGAAACACTGGAAAGATCAACAGAATGTTCTGAGTAACATATTGAGACTCACTTTGGGCAACATCTGAACCTGCAAGGTGTTGATCTCCTAGTCTGGGAATAAAACTAATTTGTCTTATGCTAAATTAAGAGATACAGAAAACAATATAAACGCCTCAAACCCTTTAACAAAACCACACTAATTTCTATTATTTTCATCTAATAGATGTATCAAAGTGGCTCAGTTGTTGGATTTATTGGTTAGTTGAATTGACGCCAATATATTATAAATGGTATTCATTTGAAATAAAGTCCAAACTGGGTAAAACAATTACTGTAGTTTCAAATGAGCAGCTAGCATATTTGTTTTCTATAAATCAAGACAAGTTTTTGCCCCGGAAAACTGAAGCTTGTCCCTCTCAGATTAGCCATTAGCTGTTTGTTCGTCAGCTATGGGCCAAATCTAAACATCTTATAAAATCTCAATCTCAGACTTCACCAAGCTTCATGCAAATTGCAATTTGGTGAACAGTTTTAGTTTTCATGACATTTGAATTAGATGGTTATTGAGAAAGGACAGTGTCATGCTTTTCCCGTCCGTCTAACAATCTGGTAGAAAAGTATTGAAAGGTAAAAATCTACAAAAATACATTTGCGATAATATTTGACTTTCCTTTAAGATTGAAACTTTTAAAAGTGGTACAAGCCTGCTTTGTCTAAGTCCCTGTCAGAAATGGTGTTAGCTTAAGGGTCTGGGATGAGAACTAATCTGGATTCAAACAAAATAAAGATACTAACACTGGTAAAGATATTACCATGCCTTTGATCTGATATGTGACTAGAAACAATAAGATGATGTCTTGTCTTCAATTGTGAGGAGTTGAAAATTCCTGAAGTCCAGATTAGTAGACGCTTTTCAAACGATTTATTGTTCCATTAAATAATTGGCAATAGTCGTTAAATGTTATTCATTGGAAACTGGAGAATCTAATTTGACCTCAAACTCTCTATACCTGTATTTACGCCTGCTTACTTCACACCGTGGATGTGCTCTCTAGTTGGTGGATCAGTTCAGGCAGGTGTACGAAAAGCCTCTTTCCAGCTAAGCGTGGTATAAAATCCACATCAACATCCATTTTGACTCCACTGCCTATTCTCAAGACAGCACGACAAAAACATCACGCTAGACCATAAAAGACTACCACGGACGGTCTCTGTGGTCATCACGGCGGCGGGCCATGTGTCGGGCCGCAGAGCTTGCGCCCGAGATGTCCGCTTTGCAGCGTGGCAGCGGCGGTGACAGCTCTGACAGACTACCTGAGCTTAAGTACCCATCTGCGGAAAGGCTACAGAGGGTCACATGTGCGCCAGGGAGCAGCGAGCAGAATGGGTAATAGACCCTGAGTTTATGAGAGCAGGTCCCAGGTGGGTTTTACAGGTGTGACGCCACAACCTTGACTGAGCAAAAGCACTCATGCAAACACAGGCACACACTGGTGGTGTAAATCCAAATCACACTGTCAGACAAATGATTGGAAAGTTAATCAGAGAAACAGGGTCAATCACCGCTGCACTTGTGGTAGATGGATAGACAATGGGGTCTGTGTGTGTCTGCGATGGGAGAGAAAGAGAGGTGAATACAATGGGTTTGTATGTGCATTGCAGATACAGAGTAGGAATCTGACTCTGGAGTAACATCATTATCACGTCCGTACTGCTAAAGCAATTTGGGTTGTGGTGGAATAACGTCAGATAAGAAAAATTGCTCTCAGAAAGGGGAAGCGTAGTTTTTTTTCTTCCATGTAGATTACTTCATCGATCTACAAATACAACATCTTCCCGCACCGAGTCACAGTTTTTTTCTCTCCTTCTTGTCCAGAGCAAGTAGCTACACTGAGCAAGGATTTGAGATGGAAATAGTTTTGACATTAGAAGTTTTTTGGGTTTTCTTACATAGCCAGACACTCATTATTCTTTCATTTTGATTCTCATGAATTAAAAAAGGAGAATGAAAAGCAGAATTAGTGGAGGAAAAGTAAAAAAGAAAAAAAAGTGGAGGAGGTGACGTTTGAGAGCTATGAATGATGTAAATAATCCACCAACATTTAACACTAAGACACAAACACACACACACACACACACACACACACACACATCCAATCATGGATATGGAAAAACGTTGCGTCAAAGACAAAATCAGCTCTTCACCATCCAAAAGCAGCAATTGAATGTGTGGATCCAGAGAAACATACTCACCTACTCAATTCTAAACAATGAAATATGTGAAATGTGTTGAGTTTTTTGTAGGATGGGGAACTTAAAATCAAGGTCAACCGACAGAGACGCTGCTTCAGTCTTTAATCCATAGTTGTGAAATCCACTTAGGAATTTAAAGCCGAAAGACAGATCAGCTTCGGTCCTTTGAAAATTGTGCAAATAGAAAAAAAAAAGAGAGAAAAAAAATCTAAATCAAATTGAAAACGTAAAAGTCCAGAATTTTATTTGTTTTACTTTTAAATATATGTTGTTGTTGTTTTTTCGGTCATTCAAAATCTAATCCAGGATTAAAGGGTAATTCCACGGAAAAAAACCCCAAAAACATCTACATCCAAAGTCCCACTGTTCCGACGTCTTCATTCGGTTTTGAATCTCCTTCAGAAACAGAATGGAAATATTAAAGAACGTTTAAAAAAACTGAAAATGAGATGAGTCTGGTGATCTTCCTCCAAAGTATATGTTTTTTGTTGTTTTTTTTTTTGCTACTCATGTGTATGCCTATGTGCTTTTTGCTATGCCTTACTACTCCAGATTGTTCTGTTGCCTTGCAGTGAAAAACATACTTAGCTGTCTTGTAATTCAAATAGTAAAGTTTAACTTATGAAAAAAATTACAAACATCTTCCTTTGAGTCTTTCTCCACAGCGCAGAAAAATGAAATAAGGAATGACAAATCAATAAGTGTGATCAGTGTGTAAGAGATGATTGGATTTTACCAAAGGAAGAGAAATGAGTAAAGTTGGTAAATGAGAAGCCAATAAATGTACAAAAAAAAAACTCCTGGAAGATTTTTCTTTTTTTTTTAAATCCAGTTTCGCCCTAGTCCATTCTCTTCAGGTGCTTGTGTTGTGTGTCTGCCTGCAGGAATGGGAGTCAGTTCAGTTTGGGAACGTACGAGACAGAAAGAGGGAGGAGGCAGAGGGGAGGAGAGAGGAAAAGAGGGCATCGAAAACGGAGCCAGAGGACTGTGCAAACACAGATGACGCCCCGGCAGAAATGGGCTTTGAAGCGACCGAGTGAAACGGGCCCTTCCTGCTCGGTCTGACCTTCACCTGATCAAACGGGGGGAGATACGGGGGGGTGGGGAGAGTAAACTGTAAAACCGACGCTTTTCAGCAGAGGAGGAAGTTTTGTGTGAGTTCTTGTGTGTGCGCGTGTGAGAGACGAGAAAGCAAAAAGGGACAAACATGGAGACGTGATGGAGTCGCTTTAATGGATACAACACACTTTTTTTTTAAACGTGACAAGCCGCTCGAACGTCTCACGTCCGTGATGATGGCTGGAGAAGGCGCTCGCACGATGAGTCACTTTAGGGAGGTTGGTTAGAAAAAAGAAGAAATGAAGTCATAAAACAAGGATGAAAGAAGGAAGAGTGACGTAAGGAGGGCAGGAATCAGCTGAGAGCGGAATGGGAGGAGAGCCATGGATCTGCTAAGTGTGTGTGTGTGTGTGTGTGTGTGTGTGTGTGTGTGTGTGTGTGTGTGTGTGTGTGTGTGTGTGTGTGTGTGTGTGTGTGTGTGTGGGGGTGTGTGTGTGTGGATCATTGTCAAGGTGTGCTACAAACACAAAACGCCTCGCACACACAGGAAGGAAACAAAGACAGACACTAAACACTAATCAGACCTACCTACGGTTAGAGTTAGGTACCAGCCAGATAAGATGCATAAGGAGGGAAAAAAGAAGGGGGGAAATAGGTATAAAAGTGAAAAAGGCATAAATAGAAAAGACAACGAAAGCTAATAAAAAGACTCTATCAGAGCTGCTTAAAGGAAATAAATAAAACGACAGGTGGAGTCAAAAAAAAAGAAAGTAGCCAAAGTTACGGGTGGAGGGGGAGGAGGATGAGGCAGGGAGGAAGGGAGGGAGGGAGGAAGAAGGGAGCGTGGGCTGCACAGGGAGGGAAAGCAATGGAAAGGGAAGGAAGAATGGATGGAGGGGATAAAAGAGGATAAAGAGGGGGGAACAAAAATCCCCCTCCTCTGTCTCTTTCTCCTTTTCTCTGTCTTTCTGCTTCTCTCTCTCTCCCCCTCTCCCTCCTTGTCTGGCTCATAAATGGACGAAATTGTTGACCAGGTAAATGGCAAAATAGATGAGGAGGCAGAGGACCGAAAGAGCGAGCAAATGAAAAGGCAAAGCACCTCCCAGCAGCGCAATGAGGAAAAAAAAGAACAAAAAACGAAAGATAAAAGCAAATACTCCGGTGGCCTCCGTCGTCTCCAGTCTGAGAGTGGACAGGGGGGGATTGGCTGGTGCCAGTTGTTCCCCTTCCCCGGCTTGCCTTCCGCTTTCTTCTCTCTCTGTCTCCCCTGCCAAAAAGCACTTCCCATCCAGATGACGGAAAACCAGGCACAGATGTCCTCTCCGCTTTTTTCCCCTCTCAACTCTGCTCAGACGCCGCACGCCCCACGCACAGGCGAGACATTGTTGCAGTGGCAACGGACGGCGTCACCAATATTGCTCAGTGTGAGAAAGAAAAGAGAAAAAGGGGGGGAAAAAAAGGCATCGTTGGGGAGTGGGGAGGTTCGGGGAGGGGAAGTTGATGCTGCTGCTGCTGCTAGTCAAGCACAGCCTACCTCATGAGGAAAGATACTGAGCTGGAATTGCTCTGTCTCTCCCCCCCCCTCTCCTCTCCTCGCTTGCCCATCCCTGCAAAAGAAAAAAAAAAAAAAAACGATAGGAGGAAGGGAGGTGAGCCCACTCACTGCATTAGTATTCATTGAAAGAGTGTGTGTGTGTGAGGGAGAGAGAGAGTGATATGGGGAAGGTAGAAGGGGCCCTTCCAATAAATGTCTAGGAACCAAACCGGCATGAAACTAATAAGAGACTGGCTCCCCCTAGAGTCCATCATCAAAATACGAGTTTTGGGAAAAATTCATGTTCAAGAACGTTCACCGGAGGAAAGATTTAAAGTGTTTTGTGCATTCGGATTGCTCGGTGGTGGCGGCATCATGCTGTGGCGAGAAATGAACGTTGATGTCTGATCAAGCTCGAGCGGAAAAACTCGGATCTGGAAGTGCAGCGTTGCTAAAGGCATGAGCCAATAGACTTACAGCTGATGCTGCTAAATATCTGTATGTGGTGGCTGAAGACAAGTGTATGCAGTTCAGATTCATTTTATTACTATTATCAGAAAATCATGTATCATTTTCCTTGCACTCCAAAATTATCCACTACGTTCTGCTGGGCTATCAAGGCAAATCCTAATAATCTACATTTATATTTGACATTTAATATAAGTGTCAATGCTTTTGCGAGGAATTGTGTGATTGCTTGACGTCATGGTGACGTTCAAAACGATTTACTGCTCAGTATAAGACAAACGGGCGTAATTACTTTTCTCTCCCTCTGCTTTTCGGGTTTCCACGCACTCCATCTTGTTGAACTCGAAAGCATTAAAGGACTTCTGGTTCATGTCTGCACGGCTGTGAAAACAAACTGATGAATTCGTCTCCACCCCTGTAATGGCTCTCAACAGACCGCTGTGCTTTGTTTTTCTTTCAGTTTCTGACATTACTTCAAGCAAATGATCATGTGACATGGCACACGTCGCAAACCACAAGCCTGCCTGCGTGTCTATGTCGTTCTCACTTTTCAGTTCACGCTTGTATCCGCCATGTTGTGGCTCATAACTTTGGCTAAAATTATAAAGAACCAGCTAAGGTGTTTTTAATACAGATATAATAAATGGAGGTCTTATCTGTTTTTACATTGTATCGTGAAATAATTGCATTAGACTTTCAGACGGATACTAAAAGTACCGGTGGCAGCGTTTTAGTTCCATTTTTCTTGTCATTGGGTGCCTTTTTTTGCTTTAAACATTATTTTACACAAATATGAACAACCATAAGAGAGTGTATCTTCTTTTTAAATGTTTTTCTTTATTTCAAAACCTAAAATTTAAAATAAAATGCTGGCTGAGCACCACAGTAGATATCAGAAATTACAATTTGTCTTATTTTAAATGGTTTAAGGTCATGTATCATCTATGGAGTCAAGGCAAAAATAAAAAATAAAAAATCCATGGTATTTTATTCATCTATTCATTATACTTTGATATTTACATACACCTACACACTACTTTTGTGAATTATCATATAACACATAGTCAAACTAAAACATCTCCAATTGACTTGGATTAATTATTGGAGTTGCTCAGCTTATTATAGATACAAAAGTTCATATAAAAGTTTTAATGACATTATATACATATTATTAATATTGGAGAAAAAAAAGGGTGATCCAAAACACTTTTCTTTGATGCTATATATTTTGTTCCATTTTCACTTTTTTTCATATCAACATTCATTTCATTCTTAATGATTTGTATTTATTTTTTTGAGAGGCTGCACAGTTAATTATGAGTAAAGCTATCAAAGAAACAAGTTACCTGTTGCAGAACCCAAAGTGCCGTTGTGTTCATTACATGTAAGATGGCGCCATCTTGTGGTGTGCAGACAGAATGGCAGCGGAGCTGGGTTTGATTGGGAACGTCTGGCTGCTTTGAGCTGCTCCACTTCTGTACGTCGTGGAGAGATGGCGTCGCTGTCATCTCCTCTAAGAGTCTGCAGAGGAATATTGAAAGAGTTACGTGCCATTCAGGGACCGAGTTACAGACAGTCGCTGGCTTACAACTACGTCATAGATCAGTTTCGCAAGAATAAGGTGAGTTTAGCTCCAGCTTAGCAAAAGGCTAACATTAGCTAGGCTGCTACCAGCATCCTTCAGTCTCATAGCATATTCCTAATATGTCGTATTAAGCACACGTTAGTTGCCAAACTAGCAAATTACATGCAATTGAATGGTTTATAAGCAAGGCTATATAAGTAAAACAGAACCTGACACTCACAGGTGGTTGCCGTGAAATAATGAAACATTTAAAAAAGCAAGGTGAATTGTTGTGAAGGGCATGCTAACATTAGCCAACTGCAGTCCTCGCGCGCCACAGTCCTGTAACTTTTTCGATGCGTCCGTTGTATTTGAATAAAACGACTAAACTGCTATCATGCTATGCTAATTAGCTAATATTGGAGTTTGAGACCACTGGCCACGGGTTGAATTAACTTTTTGAATGACTGCCATGCGACTTTCTTGATAGGTTATTATCTCGTTAATTCAGTCAGCAGTTTGCTGTAGATACCTGCTTTAGCTGTAAATACAGAGAAAAATATAAAATGCATTGTTCTGCTCAGGACATTTTATGTAATGTAAAGCTTTAACGGCGCCTTAATAGTAATAATAATAATAATGCATAATTAATAAAACAAGGCTTCCCCAAGAAAATTTGCTAAGCCCCGGTGGTCAGGGTATCAGCAGTCATTCATCCAGTCATCTGCCGGGTTTTTGAGTTAAAAAATGTTTAAAGTTGACAAGAAATGTGAAAATATCACTGATTATTATGTGTTTTTGGAAGATTAATATCTGAACACCAACTGTAAAGTCTTTAAAAAAATGCAAATATTTAAAAAGCTTAAATAAATCAGCAATGCTAGGTCTGGCAGGGCCACAAGTAAAGCCTGGTGACCTGCCAGGCTTATAATAAACTGGGAGAAACCCTGAAGAAAAGAATGTGTTCATTCACAGTAAAAACCTCCTCTGTAGATATCTATTTTTGTGCTGTTTAATCCTAAATAAAATTATGATCTGATAGTTTCTAACAAAATAATAGCAATTATATGTAATTACATGTTTGGCTCTGTTTTTACCGCTGCTCTATTTCACATGTGCTTTTCAAAAATCACTCCACATTGTGTAGAATGCATTAGTGTGTGTGTTGTTTACCATGTCGGCTTAGAGCTTGCATTATTAATGCTTGGGAGAACATGGCTCAGCAGGAATACTGAATGCATGTTTTGTCACTGACGCAAAACAGCTTAAAGCAACTCTTGCTTGTCATGTCAAACTGTGCATTGCTCTCGAGGCTTTACAGTGTGCATTAAAATATCTAAATGGACCGTACTGCCATTGTAGTTGGAGTGGTGAGTGAATGTCAGAGCATTGAACACCAACTCGGTCACAAATCAGACCGTTCTTATGGTTTCATGCCTTGCGTTTTTCTTGAAAGTGGTGGACATTACTGTTATTTAAATGTTACAAAGAAACGGTTTGTTCCTTTGTTTTTCCTGATCGCAGGTTACAGGGGAAAGGTACTGCAGAGCCCAAAAGGAGGCGCACCACGCCTCGCTCACGTACCTGTGTTTGCTGACGTCCACCAGGAACCACCAGACCCTCCATAACCTCTACCATGGCAAGGGAGAGCGCAGCCCAGAAGAAGTGGCCGGCCTGGTGGGGCTCCGGCTGCCCACGCAGCCGGGAGGGAAAGGCTGGGAGAAGTAGGGACGGCGGAAAGAAAGTCTGCGGGAGAAAATCAGGAAACTCTCCTGGAGTTACATCTGTATGGACAGTGGATGGATCGGCTGCCTCCGTGTAACTTAAACTCCAGGAGTTTGCTTGTTGTGGCGTTGTGGACTGAGGAAACTTGGTCTCCATTCTCCTGAGCAACCGTCGTTCGAAACGAGGGGGGGGGAAAATGTGAACTCATAAAATAAAAAATAAAATCGTCAGCTAACATATAAAACTTGTTAAAAACCTTTGTGTTCAATTGCAGCACCTCAAAAACACTGAATATCCCATTATGTGGTGAATGTCTACTCATTTAAAGTTAATCCCATAAACTGTGATTAATATTTGACTGTATGTAAATAAAACTTTTTTTCCTTTTTTTTGAAGTTGTGTGTAAATGTGCACAAGAACAAACAGGCTAAAATAAATGACCATCTATATTTAGCATTGTCCAATTTATTATTTGGCTTTCAATTCCAATATCTCAATGTGAAATTAAGCTTTAGGATATGACCTCAAACCTTTTTTTGGGGGGGGGGGTTGGCAACAAAAGTACAAATATGCCTTAATTGTGTCCAATATGTCTCTTGAAAAGTATTTGTCTAAAGCTTCATACAAACATCTTTTTTTTAACGATAAGTGTATCTATGTATTACTGAGGATATTGTCTTCTTAGGTTTCAGAAGACAAGATGGTGGTTTATTTTGGACTCGAGTGTAAAGAATTTTTATAAAAACTGATGGAAAATCCTGAAAATGAAGTGTAGAAGCTTGAAGTGTGAAAACTGTAGACACCTCACCAGCAAGCTCAGACTATTTCACTTGTATATTAGTATTCACTAACATGTAGCTTTAACATTTCTTCCAAGAAAAGTAAGGGACAGAAAATGAAATTACATTTCAAACAAGAAATGTTAAAATGGTAATTCAGCATTAAAAGACAGTGAAGACCTAATAAAGTAATCAAGAGAAACCCACAATAAACCGTTTCTGTTCATCTCTGCTTTTTAGAGAGTTTAGAGTATTTTCTCTTTCTGTCCAAAGCCAAGAATAATGACGCATGGTGTTGGCCGCATCATGCTTTTTTTTCTGGCCTGGATAGGAAAAGTTAGTGGAGTTGATTGAAAGATGGACACTGAAGAAACAGCCAGAGCTGCAACAGAATGGTTTTGATCAGAACATCATGTGTTAGAACGGTCCAGTCAAAGTCCAAAATCAGAAGAGGTTTACCCAAAAACAACCGCAGCTGTAAATAAATGTAAAGGACTGGATTTATTTGATTTCTGTTACTGTTTATGTTAGTGTGCTGTGTGTAACTGGTTGCTTTGATGGCATAGAAAAAGTTTTCTGTTTATTTGTTAGTTTGTGTTTCCCAGAGGCCCTCATTTGCATATTGTTGGCGCAAAAAAAACAACAAAACGATGATACATTTTTGCCACACGCTTTCCAGACAGCCATGGCTTTTTACATGGCATATATGGGCGGTTGTCCAGGGCGACATTACAGATAGGGAGGCTCAGCATGAGACATTATGATGTCATTTTTACACCCTGTTTTTATGGATGTGCAGGAAGAGTTGGGGTGAAGTAAAGATGCCAACAATAAGGCTTAGCAGTTCCCGTGAATCAACCAGGTTGCCATTCATGATGCAGGAAGCAGTGCCTCTGTTCCCTGACCTGCTCTCAAAAAAATCATACCTCCCCTCCCCAACCACCATCATATAATTCCACCCTCCCCCACCCCTTTTTTTTCTTCTTTTTTTTAATTTATTTATTTTTACTCTTAGTGTGCAGCGGTGACTAACGTTGCCTTCAGTGTGAATTAAAATAGACCAACCCTGCAGCAAAGCGCGCTCGCAGTGGCGCAAGGGGAGGGCGAGAGCAAGACGTGCGCTGCTCATGCACAACCCCCTCCCCCCCCAAACACACACACACACACGCACAAACTTAACATGCAGCAAACGCAGCCTGGGTAAGTCAAAACGCACAAATGCGGAGTGACAAGGAAACAACTGTGGCGTCGAAATTGATTCCGCGATCGCGCGTCTCCTGCTCCTACCGACCTGGACCAGAAACCAGGGGACCAACAGTGGCGCGCTGAAGGTTTGTGGCTTCCAGAGAGGTGGAAGTGGGGCGAGTAAAAAAAACTAAACAAATGTTTTAATCAAGTCAGCGCAACTTTAACTCTTCCGGGGGACGGGGGGGGGGGGTCACGTTAGGTGGTGGTGATGCGCGTCGAGCTTGGAGGAGAGGAGCGGTGTGTGTGTGCGTGTGTGTGTGTGGGCGGGGACAGCGCGGAGGCTGCTTCCGCTATTGGTTTGTCAGAAGGTGCGGACGGCTCAGCAGCATCATCTTCCTCCTCGAGAAGAAGAGGAGGGGCGGGGGCAGGGAAACAGCTGTTGAGGGGAGTTCACCGAGACGAGGTGCTGAGTTGTATTTTGATCTTTTTTTTTTTTTTTTGGGGATTCGCAAACCGCAGATTGTCTCTCCGGGGAAGCAGGTTGCTGGAGGAGCGACGAGACTGGAAGTGACCAGCGGAGCGATGTTCGGCATGATCAGAAATTCGCTCTTTGGGAATTCGGAGGAGACCGAGTACAAAGTGCTCAGCAGCGAGACGAAGGTAAGCAGAGAGAGACAGACGCCTGTGCGCCTTCGGGTTTGTTTGTGTTTGCGCAGTTATTTTTTTTTTTTTTTTTTTTTTTTTTTTACGCACAGATTTTGTGCTGACCTGCGCCCTTTCTCTAATCAAAACTCCCAACTCCAACATTAGACACATGCAGCAGAATCTGTTTTTAAAACGCGAGGCTCTCATTCGCCCTGTAACCTTGTCGGTGAGGCTAAATTGCCTCTGACCTGTGAGGATGCCCGCTGACCCGCAGCGCGCGCAAAGAAGGGAGCCCCCCGAGGGCCTTGTGAGGCTCCACAAGGCAGAAACGAACAGTGATGGAAACGAGCGAGCGCCATGCTGAGTGGATCTGTTTTTGTCGGGCTGCACAGGGGTCGGAGATCAATGCAGAGGAGAGAACGTGTTCACCTCACTCTAAACGTGCAGCCAGAGCCTTGTGTTATGTTGGCCTAATCAAAGTCCAGACCTGATTCAATCGAGGATCTGGGAGAAAGGACATGCCTCCACAGCGTTCCAGCTTTAGCAACAAGCAAGTGTATGTTTTCTCATTTTTATTTTTATTGTTTTTACAACTATGCATCATTTCCCTTGCATTTCACAATTGTGAACCAGTTTATTTTTGATCATTATGCATAACTGATTATTCTGGAGGTCATTTTTAACACACTATTTCCCACCTGAAACTGGCAGCGTCACGCTGTGGAGATGAATATTTTTCCGGTATGTATGAGAAAAATGGTTAGTTATTAAATTTGCTTGAAGAATATGTTAATATATCAGCGACTCAATGCATCTCGACTCATGAGAGTTGATGATCTGACGACGTTGAACAAAATTGCTTTAAAGGGGCAATTCTCCAGCGTTCTCCAGCGACATAGTCACGTTTTATAGCAAAGTCAAGGAACAATGTTAACTTCAGCTGTTGCCAAAAATCCAAATACGACTTAAAAGAAATTTTCCCGCGTGATTTGACGTGTTGAAATTGGGCCACCATCTCTTCAAAAACTCCTGCTCATTATGAAGCTCCGCCTTCACATGGTAACCACATCTCTCCTCTATTAACCCTTAAGCAACACTTTTACCAGCGTTCCCCTGAGAAGTAGCTCAGCAGATCAATCGGTTTCATGCAGGTGTTTGCTAATTGCTGCCAGCTAGTCTGAAGGAACCGAGCAAACACGATTCACGATCTTAGATAGTGAGTCAAAAAAAAATTGTCAATTTTAACACAGTAAATAAATATCTGGTTAGGTTGTGTGGCAAACTAATGAAAATGTATTGTCAACGCAGACTTTATATTCTACCTGCTATATAAATAATCCAAATAAAAACCAACAGCCTCTTGACGAATGTGAAGAAAAATATTCTTTTAAATCCTTGTTTCATGTTGCTGTGAAGGATGGAACGACAGCTGGCTCCAAGAGTCTTTTCTAAATACCCCGTCTTCACATGACATGCTCTTGGCCGTGTCAAAACAGATCTGTCCGTCAGCGAGCGTGTGTGTGTGTGTGTGTGTGTCATATCGGCCGAGTTCGCTCATGTGGAATGGAAATCCGCTTTTATCTCTTTGTCTCCCACTCAGAAGTTGTTTTTTGTTCACCAGATAAACGAACAAAGGGACTTTGAAAACTCAGCAACACGCGGCACATGTGAACATCCACAGAGGAGGAGGTTTATTGGTCCTCAAAAATAGACATAAACACAAGGCCTGTTGAAAGTTTACATACACGCCTCATGGAGATGAACGTCATGTGGATAGCTGACTTTTTTTATTTCATTGGTCTGATTTTGCTTTTTAAGCAAAGCACATAATCTCTGAGTAGAGTTGAGGTCGGGTTCATTGTAGAAACTTAATATCAGACCAGCTTGACCCATTTTAAGACCAGTACTGATGAGTGTTTGGGATCATTGTCCTGCTGGAACAACTAATTGTGGCCGAGTTTAAATCATCTTGCCCAAGTTGTTCTCCTCAGATGAAAGGAAACTGCTTTGGATTTTCAGGAACAATCAAAACTCAAAGACGGCAGAAGATGTCGGTGCAAATCTTGCAACGTCTCCAAACTCCAGTGTGCAGTTTTCACACTAAAAAAATAAAAAATTTTAGAAAAGTGCGGTGCACAAAAATTTTTTGGGATGTATAAAGTGCATGTAGCCACGCATCTTTCCTTTATATGTCCAAATTTGCGGTATATACAGGGGGAGGGGTTTTCCGTCACACCATCAGTTCCCGATACCACACTCAAAAAACCTCTTGTACAAGCGCACGCTGGGTCACTATGCACCGCCTTCTCGTCCACACAGAGTAAAAACCTTGTGGGGTGTGCAGCTATGTAGCCTAAAAGACCTGAACTCTTCAGACTGAGGCAGGGTTAAGAGTGTGTCTGAAATCGATGCAACTCTAAGCTGAACAAATTCAACGTTGTAAAGTTTCAACTTTATGTTTCTAAGAGGTAATACGAACAGTGTTCATGGGCGTCGCCAATATCAAAATCTCAACTTCTTACCTGGAACATTGTCACCTCTGGTCTGATGTCATACCCAGCTCCGAGTTCCAGGGTAACTGGAGCACATCAATGGTTTGGAGTGGCCCTAATCTCAGAAAATTTTGAAGTGGCGCCAGAAGAGTGTGTGAGACGCTCTCTGTCTCTGGGAATGGGAAAGGCCAAAATCCCAGCAAACTATTGTGAACTCAAAACATTTGACTCAAATCACAACTTGTGGCTTTGGAGACAGTGGAAAAAGCACCTGTCACCTTTATCCAGTCATCAAACAGAAATGATCTAGTTCATCCCAAACGACCCGGAAACGCCAAAGTTCTGGATTTACCATCAGAAAAAAGGCGTTGAGAGAAAAAGGCCCTTTTTCTTTTTACGCTCCGTGTCAAGATCTGGTGTACAAAGCATCTGTCTTAACACTTTTAATTGAAACCGACAGCTCCAGAGGAGATGCCAGGTGGGGCACATTCACACACACAGGCTGGGTGGAACTGAGCTCAAACCCTGCTAATGAGCACATAGCACAATTTTAAAGCCAAAACGGCAGAGTCATGGAGCTTTTCTTCTTTTCTTTTCTTTTTTTGTTTTAATTTATTTTGGTGTAAGCACTTTTTTTTTCTTCCTTTTTAGGCAAGAGGCTAATTACGATGCACAGCCTGCATGCACATGACAAATTAATTGCACTGTTGCACAGAGAGGCCTGTGCTTTTCGCGTCAGCCATGCACAACTTTTAACGTCGGTCGACCCCCGGTGACAACTTCTTCAAAGCTAACTCTTTAATTGCAATGCAGGAGCATGTGGATCTGACACCAGATACATTCGTGGCGCTATCCTTTTTCGCTGCAGAACTGGAATTAATACCTCTGCAGGAGCATTAGTCGAAACGCTTTATTAAAAAAGAAAGTGCATGTGGTGCCTCGAGATGGGAAGAGAGGATTGAAAGTTGCACGTTTATTTTATGGGATGAAGATCCCCTTATCTGAATGCCACTTATCAGCATGGCAGGTTGCTCACGGGGGAGGAGAAACGATCCCAAACGGCTCACGCGCGAGTGAAAACATAAGACTTAATATCTCCGTTTCATTCCGTGCTACAGGTGCAGTCAGTCGCACTTGCAAGCAACAACCATCCTCAGCAGCCGGCGGTTCGTTTTCCAAGCCTTGAGAGAAGTTAAACTGCAATGTGACGCACGTCAAATCCAAGCGACACTTCGAAAACGACGCAGTGGCCTCCGTTGAAAGCAGATGTTTGTGCGTCTCCCCCCCTAATGCCGGCGCCGTTACGTAAGAGCACACGCATCTCTGGCCCCGAGTCCCCCGTGAGCTCACTGAACCCTGCAGAGCAGAACGAGACATTTAATCAGATCGGGGCGAATACGGTTCACGTGGGTCTGCCCACCGAGGTATTCGCGTGGCCTTTGCGGAGATTATTCACACTCCTTGAACTTTTTGCGCATTTTGTCACTTCACGTTTCGAAGTGCTTCGCTGGGACCAAACCAACGCAAGTCGAGCGTTGCTGTGAACTGGAAGGAAACAGATGCTCGCCCTCCCATTTTTTTTAAAACAAATAACGATGTAGGCTATCTGAAAAGTGTGGAGTGCTTTTGTTTGTAGGCCCCTAACAGCTTTATTTCTACAAATGTAATACTTTAGGTGTGTGTTTCTACCAGCTCCACACGTCTTGACACTGATAGATCAGTCAGACTGGACATCAATCTGAAGTCTTACTTCAAATTCTCCATTAGATTTTCTTGTATGGACTTTGACTAGGATACTCCAAGGTATAAACTCTGATCAAATCTATTCCAATGTAGCTAAGAAAATGGTCCTGCTCATGTTTCATCATGAGGATGGTGTGCTCATCATGATGTGCATCGGTAGTGTCCAAAGTGTGGCCCGGGGGCCGTTTGTGGCCCTTCAAATGATTTTGTTTGGCCCCTGACCACAAGTCAAAAATGGCAACAATTTTGGCCAACAAATTAAAAGAACAATTGCAATTGTTCTTTTAATTTGTTGAAAAACAGACAATTTCTATTTCTGTTATCGTGATAACAGAAATAGAAATTGTCTGTTTTTCTTTTAACAAGGCAACAGTCCGAATCCCTTTTTATGTTTTGGATTTTTAATGATAAACAGATTTTACAAAAACTGTTCATCATTGAGCTGCAAAAGAATCTATATGTTTCTGCATTTTTAATTTGATGAACTTTGTTGCTCATCTGTAGTTTAAAATTGCCAATCGTGGCCCCCAGGACAAAATGTATTGACACAATTGATGTACGCTGATACTTTTCTACCCAGAAAAATTTTTTACATGTCGATCAAGCAGCTTACACTTTTGGTCAAATCAGACTGGAGTCCCTTCCATCACATATTTGCTTTTATAAGACTTTCTTCTCACCACCCTTCACCACTTGGGGGAATACATGGCATAACAACCTGAAATTTGTGACACAATCGTCTGTGTTTCAGAAGGGTACCACTATGTTTGCTCCACCAACTATTAGCATTCTCTCGTTTCTCTTTGTGCCACAGAACGGAGTGGGCTTTGAGGTGAGACGGTACGACGCGGCAAAGTACGCTGCCGTCTACTCGGAAGGAAGGACCTATGAGCAAGTAATGGGGGAGCTGGTCCGGAAACTGCTGACGTACATCGGTGGAAACAACGAGCCAGGTTAGAAAGAGGAACCGCTCAAACCCCGCTTTACATTAACCAAACATCAACGCATCTCGCTAAAGTAAAGTCGTATAGGATTTCAAATCTACGTTTCGTTCTCCAAGGTGAGGCCATGGGCATCGCGTTTCCCATCATCGCCACGGTGTACCCGCGGAACGACGGCGTTTTCTCCCGACGTCTGGCGGTGGGCATCCGGATCCCCAACGCCTACCAGCAAGACCCCCCAGCTCCCACCGACAGCGCCGTCAGGGTGGAGGAGCGGCCCGGCATGACTGTATACGCGCTGTATGTGCCATCTATGACAGTGCAACTTAGAACAATGTTTATTATATTTTTTACAAAATCAAGTTGATTGTAAAGGTTTGTGAAATTGGATTAAGAGACCTCAGTCCAACACACAAGACTAATGCATTATGTTTAGTCAATTTAGTATGGAAGGTGATCCAATGCTGTCTACTTTATTCACTTTTTATTTAGAGTGGATGCTATCAATGCAACCTTGTAGGATCACTCTAAAAAATAAAATAAAAAAAGGAGATTTGCACAAGTCACTCTTCCAAAATGCTTAAGGACAATGTTGGGAAGGGCCAAGTCAAAGTCCTTGACTTTAAGCCAGAAGAGATGACGTGAGCAGTTCAACTGAGGAAACCCACCAACGCCCCAGAGACACAGCTGTTCTGTACGGTGAACTGGACTGAAATACCTCCCAGCTTATGTTCAGGGCTGAGTACAGTAACAGCGACGGGGAAGCTGCAGTTCTTGCACAGGGGGCGACGCGAAATGCTACACTTTTGATTCCCACTGCATGCGCTGCAACTGTTAAGACACTACAAGCTGAAATTTACCCGTTCTGTTCCCTCTCCGCAGACAGTTTGGCGGCTTCGCCGGCGAGAGCGAGTATCGGGCCGAGGCCTCCCGCCTGACCCGCGCCCTGGGCGAGACCACGCCCTTTCAGCGCAAGCAGTACTTCTGCTGCAGCTACGACCCGCCGCTCAAGCCTTACGGACGCAGAAATGAAGTCTGGTTCCTGCAGGAGGACCCGTGAAAAGGTCCCATCTGATGCTTGGTCCTCCAAAAAAAGGAAATAAAAACATGTAATCTTCACCTCTGTTAGTCCTACAGCTGTAAACAGAGAACGGGCTCAAAATATAGCCGGCGGAGGCGAGAATGACCTAAAGAAAGGAAAGAAAAAAAATATTGCAAACTAGATTAGCTTCCACAAACCTACATATTGTTTCAGACTTGTGTTTGTTTTTGAAGGTGATAAATCTCAGCAGAGTTTCCATGTCTTTGAGTACTAACTTGCAGATCTTTAAATGACAGTAACAACTAGAAACATAAAGAAAAGTTGTTGTTCTATCTGAATAAGATACTGTTAAGTTTAGTCATTAAGTGGAATTAAACATTTTGAATCAGAGGAATGGCAGCTTTGGTTGTTTGTGCCACAATACTTTGTTATATTTGTCTACAAAATATTCTGTGTCGTCAGTGGAGAGTTTTGTATTTTAGTGCATGAAATATAAGCCAATTTTTATTTCGTGAAACGTCAGTTTTGTGATCCATCTGTGCATGTAGGGGTTTTGTGGTCAATGTGAATTTAATTTTTAAGGCTTCAGAGTGTTTTATTGCATAAATAAAAACGTCATTCAGTCGTGGCTTGTATTTGCTCTTCTTGTCTTCTCATTTGTGCGACTCAAAGTCCGTCAAAATCTCTTATCGTTTGATTACTAAAAATCGGGAAACTCGTTTTTTCAGGAGAGATTGGCAAGAATGAATCACGTCTGCATCTTGGCATAAGCCTTTTTGTGGAAGACAGCAGGTGCTGTGGTAAAATAAGACATTTAACTTTTAGGTCATGGAGTAACTGTGTTGTCAGTGACACATTACTGAAAAGCAGAGAGTACCAAAAAAATGCAGCTATTCTCAAAATGTTTTTAAATTAAGATGGTATAAGAATAAAAAAAAGCAAACACACGAAAGCATCAGCTTTAATAAATGACTCATTTATTAGATTTTAATTGGAACAAAATTCAGCAGAAAGAGAACTGCAAAAAAGGTATTAAAATACAGACATTTGATTAAATTGGGTAAAGTATCTACTTACTACATCTGTGTGCAAATAATCCATCAAACAAACTGTAACTGTTGCACACCAAGGAAGATGTTTCGCCTGCTGGCGCCATAACAAACGCTTTGCATTCAGAAGAATCAACAGCAGCAATCACCTGTCGGCCTTGAACTAGGCCGTGTGGCCCTGCACTAGTGTAACTACTCGAGTTCTGGTGTTAGCTTGGATTTGCGGAGATTGAACACACACACGAAATCTTTAAGAATCCTCTTCAGCCCAAACATTGCACTGCTTTTTATCAACTTAAGCCATCTTAAAGAAACATAACATCATGAGAACAAGAAAATTAAGCTATTTTATCTTATTTAAATGAGTACTAAAGACACATTCATAATAGATTAAAAGTTGTTGATATTTGCTATATGTTAATACACACACACACACAAAAGAAAAGAAACACTCAGTATTTGCTGTGATGCTATAAAAAAAGAGTGTTTCTGGTATGTAATTTTCTTCGGGAACCGCAATCAAATCAGCAGAAAAAGTTTCATTTATGTCTTTATTTTACATTTTGTAAAACAGTGGCTGTTCTGGTGTTTGGGAATTATTAAGAAACTAATGCATTTCCTATCTGAGAATTGAAGTAAAAGTTAAGATGGTCGGTTGTATAATGACAGAATATCAGACACAGTTATGCCGAGAGATCACTGATTACACCAGTAGCCTTCAGTTTTTAATCATCCCAGCAGGTTTCCCATCAACTTCACTCGCCTCGGAATCTATTCTGGGGAAGCAACAGGAGTGCCATGAAGGTGTTCAGTCTTTCTTCTTGTTGGGGGAGTTCGGGTACGGTGCATATGGTGGAGGCCGCTCCTGTGGTGGACATAACACAAAAATAGAAAACAGTTCAGCGGCGTCCCTAGAAAAAAAACGGACGGCTGACGACGTCCACGCTGCTGCGGAAGCTTACCGCGGGGATGTAGACGGCGTGCGGATTGCTGGGATTATAATACGCGCTGCCTGCCGCTTCGGCCGCCTTTGAGTTACCTGTGCAGTGAAACAAGACGTGACAGAGACAAGAAGATTAATGCTGACAGCCGTGAGCACAGAACGCGTTCGGGGGTACAGACGCTACAGCTCAAACCACTGTACGCGGGGAGCGCACGGTTAGTCACATGAATCTTAAATGACAGCTCTGGAAAATCCTCCAGACGGAATCAAGCCGCAGTCCCCGAGGAGCAGGACGGGAAACGTCCGACTGAACGTCCACCGAAAACGAAAGGACGTTTCACCCTGGAACAATGGGTTCTTGCTCATGAGCACGGGAGGGGAGTGTTTGCTGAGAGCTCTGCATGTGAGGATTGTTTAACCTTTGTAATTATGATGTTCAACACATGAGACACTAGCAGCCCTTCTTTTTATTTATTTTTTATTTTTTCCCCCAAAATGATTCATCTTGAAAAAGACAGATGAGATCTGACGGGTGCAGTGGCACAGGATTAAAACAAGAGAGAGGAAAGAGAGAGAGAGAGAGACGGAGACCAACAGACCTGCAGGAGGTGGGGGGGCGGTCCAGTTCTGAGCGGGAGGAGCCCAGTTCGGAGGAGGCCCAGGGTAAGGAGGGGGCGGGGCCATGTAGTCGCATCCAGATGGGTACATTCCTGGAACGGGAAAAAGACAACAAGGTCAACCGAAGGAAAAAAACAAAAAAAAAAGATGCGAGTCCCAGATGATACAGCACACAAATTTGACAAGATGCATCAAAGGCTGTAACTGAGGATCATCTAAGTTATCAATGAATCAGTTATTCTGACGACTGATCAATTTATCGGATTAAAAAATTTGGCAGATTTTTTTGTTTAAGCGCTTTTTGTGCTGAAATAAAATACATCAAAATATGTAAATAAACAAATAATTCAATTCCTTTTTTTTAAATAGGAAATGCATGCTTGATCATTTGTAGCAAAGGATGCATGTGCAGCTAAAAAAACATTCACTACATCAATGTGTGAAAAGCTCAGCCATTTCTGCTTGGCCAATCTGTTGACTATGTTTTTGGATTAACTGATTTATAATTGGATGGTAAAATGTGCTTAATATGAGATTTTAATTTTCTTCAGAATTTAAGGCAGGTAAAGCTAAATCTGTGCCACCAAAGTAGTTTTGGACAAAAGGTTTATATTTTCTTCCATTTCTGTTGCTAGTTTTCCCCAATTTACCCCAGAAGGGTTTCAGTTCTGTTAATACATTTTCGGTATAAAGTGTTTAGAAACAACTTTAGCAAATTTGTACAATATTTGCACTAAAATCTGTACCTGCTGCTGCTGTTGGATAGGGGTAGCCCATATTTCCAGGAGCAGTGGGAGGAGGAGGACCCTGGTAGAATACATTCTGCTGGGGAGGGGGAGGATAAGGATAGCCGTTCGGAGCCGGTGGAGGCGGACCGTACCCGTTCACCATTCCGGGTGAGGGGTAACCGTAGGCAGGAGCCCCGTTCTGGGCCGGAGCAGCACGGGATGCTAGAACACAAAAACAAACAAAGGTTTAAAGGTAGCAGGAACTGTGTCCACTTTTTATTTATGAGCTTGATATCATCCAATATCGAATAAAACAACTGAAAAAATTAAATAAAAATATGTGAATACAAACCATTTGTGGCCAGTTTGAAAAGATGCTGCCCCACTTCAATGGCTCCTCCGCTGGGAAATGACATCTTGAAATGGGCCTGACCTTCCCAGCCGCCTGAATAAACAGTTTTGATTGGAGAAGCCTTTAATTACAACATGAACCCAAGTTATCACTGGTTTCCTATCTACTCAAAAGAACACTCACCACCAGGCTCGGCCGACACGGTGCCTTTTATGTAGTTGGCGCCAAACACTGGTTGCTCAATGCTGCAGCCCTTCATCAGATAGTAGGGGAACATGGCTGAGCCTAAGCAGTCCTTGTTGTTGCTGGACACGAACATCAGCTGAGAAGGTGGACAACAACAAATGACGCTGCGTGAAAAACATGAGGATCACAGCAGCATCCTAAGTATGTGTATCCTACAAAAGTGAGTTACCCTGTATGGAGTTAGATAAATGGTGCCTTTCTTGGTCCCCTTCAGCAGGTCAGTCTTGCAGGAGACGTCGCTGAATGACAGCTCCACATTCTTACATTGTCTTAAGACACTAGAAAGACAATGAAGACATAAAAGGTAAAAAAATATTAACCAAACCAAGAAAAACAATGTTCAAACACAGTGAATATCCTTACTATGAATCGTTGGGAGTTGTGGAAAACAATATATCTTTTCCATCTATAATGCATTCTAGAATATTATTAGACTAATCTCCAGAGATGCACAGGCTAATTAGCCAGGAAATTAGCCCAAACTGGACTGTAATCAAGATGTATGCAACTTTTCAGCATAATAGTTAGATAAAACTCAGGGCTGTACAGTTCAATGCAGTTTCTTTTTTGTCTCAAATCAATTCAGATTGATTCAGCTGATGCCTTTCTAAAACCAAAAGACACCATACAGAGAGCAAAACAAATAAATAAATGAATAAAACAATAAAAAAAAATCTGTAAAAATGTCAGATCTCAATTTAAAGCAAGTAAACCACTTTGAACTATGACTTTTAAAGAGGCAATTTGTATTCCCTTCAAAAAATGTGGAGTTTTGGTTTCATTATGGTAAAGTCTATGGGTCAACTTTTCACTGCAGCAAGAGTGTTTTTAGAGATAAAGTGAATTAAATAAATAAATAAATAAATAAATAAATAAGGCCAAAGCTCCGTGACATTTTAGGTAACTTCGGTATTTTCGATACTCGAAATTTGCGGTTTTTGACTCCAGGTTGCGTCAAATCGGTGCCTGATGCGATTATTGCAACAAAATGTCAACACGAACAGCAGCCATTGCTTCCTGTTGTGACAGACGGGGCTAACGAAATGAGTTAGTCAAAAGCAAAACTACATTTCACAAAAACGTAGGGGTAAAAAAAGACAGCATAATATGTTCGGTATATTGTTAAAAAGTTAAAGTTGAAATCACATAAATTCGGGGTGTTACAAGAAAGCGCAGCTAGCGGGCTAGCTCTGCTATTAGCTAGCTCCGCGAGAAGAGATGTAAACAAGCTTCATGACGACACGACAGCTGCTTGGTTTATGAGATAAACCCAGAAGAAATCCCAGAAAACACGCACCTCTCTCCGTTATCGATCAAAACCCCGCCGTTTTGCGAATGGTTCCGATTCAGAGCCATGTTCAGGAGCCGTGAGAAACTTCTGTCGCCTCTGATCAATGCTAAAGCCTGGAATCGTCACGGATGACACAACGCTTACGTCATCACACCATCTGGAAACTCGTGACCTGACTCTGGAAGTTTTCTTGCTTCTTTTTTTTGTGTGTTTTGTTTCTTTGTTTTTACTTGTCCTTGAATAACAGAAATGTCCTTCAAATGTCTGTTGAACACTTTATGAGAAAATGATTCAAAAATAATATTAACTTTGTACGCCAACAATTGTGGATGAAAAAGTGAGTCCATGAACATATTGAGTTTTTGAGGACGTTTGATGTTCTGTGCGAAAATACAGTACAGACTGTATATTAAATTGTATATTGCAGCTTAATTTGAATCATATTGCTCTGTCCTGTACAGTTCAATATGAGTCAAAGTTTTGTGAAGTTGCTCAAAACGGAAATAGGTCATATATGCACCACTAAGAAAAGATGTTGTATTGGCATTAATAGTTTGTATGAAAAAGATAACAACGTGTAAATTAATTGTCAGTTTTATTGGAATAATGACTTTATGACTATTAATAGACCACTGATCTGGACTCATATCAAAGTCCTTGGTTCCCAAAAAGGAAGTTTACTTCTCAATAATCAAATATATCCGACAAAAACCAATTAACTAAAAGAAAAAAAACATAGAAATAACTTAAATGAATCTTGGACATTTTGTAAAATAACTAAGGAAATAATTTCACAGCTTCTTTTTGAGTGTATTTGTAAATAATTTTGGACTGAGATGGAATGATTGATCCAACTGTGTCGTGGCATTAAGATTAAGTAATTAAGTTTTAACATGATGATATCATCTGCTAATGATAAAAATAATAATGGTAAAAAAAACTTTTTAAGTTATTTTGTGTGTTTTTTGTTGTTGTTTTTGTTTTGTTTTTTAGTGATACTTTTTTGGGCAAGAATGATCAAAAATGAATCAAAGCTCAAAAATTACGTCAAAGCTGAATTGGTAAAAAGTAAATAAATAAAAATATAACCTTAAAAGAGTTAAGAAACCTGACAAACTATAAAGAATTTTATTGCAATTAAATGTTTTCTTTAAAATATATGGAGCTAAATTGGGGCCATGAAGCTGGTTAAAAAAAAAAGCTTTTTTGATACTGAAAGACAAATTTTGCATCGTGTATTTTTTTCTTATCTTTTCGCTTTGTATCATAAATGTTCTAATTTCTGTGCTAATTTTTATATCTTCATATGCTAGATGTAGCCTAAAGTTGCCGATTTTGATTAAAATAAAAATGATAATTATTATTACTATTACATTTGTTTTATTTTGCTTCATTTTCACAGATGTGTTCGTTTTCTGCTTTAACATTTAGTAGTAGGGTTAGGGTGACAGGACCCACTCTAACCCCAAACCTTTGTTATTGTTTTGCTTTTTCACTAACAGGTTTGTGCGCCGTTTAAAACCTTCCGCCACCGGGGCAACGGGACTACTTTCACTGTATCATTTTTGGCCTCGGAACAAGCGCTGCTGCTTATCCAGTTGCTCATTTCACAGTCCAGAGGGTGAACATAGTTAATGGTGGCGGGTTGAACTTCACCGGATAAATGTCGGCAGGACGGAAACGTGAAGCTCAGGAGGAAACAAGCGTCGGACTAATTAACGCTAATTACCGGGCGGCGCGTGGCCTTCACGTAGAGCCACGCAAAGACCTGGGAACCTTGGAGTCCAGACAGAAAGACCGACACAGATTAAGAAGAAGATGAGGGACACAGAAGCCAGACTGGTGTGTTTGGTTTGGATACTGATGGCGCAGCGCTGCTGTTGTGCCTCCAGCTTGCAGGGGGAGGAAAAGCGGACGCAAAACGCACAGCGGGCCTCGCCTGCAGTCACCTGCTCAGTCCGCGGGATGACAGCCGTGTTTGGCCCGCCGGTCACGAAAAAACTGCGTGTCAGAGGTAAGGTCACGGCTGTTGCCCGTTTCAGTCATTTAGTTTGAAAATAAATCAAAGCTATTTCTAATTAATCGGAATTTTTTTCGTAACTGCATTTACTTTGTTGTCGTTTAGACGTGTCAGGTACTCCAGTCCCTTTAGTTAATTCTAAGAGGTCCTGTGGAGTGAAGGTGGGTAAAGAGGAGAACCAGAACCTCTCGTTTTTCAGCAGATATGACAGCTGCTATGCAAGGATAGAGGTAAAACTTTTAAATTATAAAACTAAAAAAAGAGAGCGTAATCCAAAACCTCTGTGCATTGCATATTTGACTCTCTTCCCTCTGCAGGGCAACAAAGTGGTGGTCTCGCTGCAGGTCCAGTTGACAGGAGAGAACCAGTGGATCGGAGTGAACATCAGCTGTCCTCTGATCAAGAGAAGCGGTCGGAAAACCCAGCCGACTTCGTGTGAGTGACCTCTGACCTAATCGTCAACAGGATCCAGTGGATGCTGTTAAATTCTTGGCACATGACCTTCATCTCGTCGCACTCAAATCTGCGTCGTGTCCCAGCGAACCCTTTTCCCCGACAAACTGGACCAGTCATACTTAGGAATAACCCAACACTTTTCTTCCTCCAACTTTGAGTTAGTCTGTCACATAAATACCCAATAAAGTGCAATTAGTATTGTGTGTTTAGGAATTTTAGTGTTTTAAAATGTGAAACAGCAAGCTTTTTAAAAGAAAAAGAAGTGCAGATAAAATCTTAACTTTGAATGGTTATCATTAGCTTCTTCTCCAGCTTCCCTCGGTAAATGCAATGCTGATGAGTCCCTGCGTTTAAATTGTGGTCACCAAAACATCACCAGCAGCGCCTGCCAGAAACTGGGCTGCTGCTACGATGCTCAGTCTTCTGCCTGCTACTACCGACTTAACGGTAAAAGGAACATTTCACCTGTAAGAGGTTGTCAGGCGTACAAAAGAGAAACATCCCCAAACTATTTCTCTGAGTTGCGTTTTTGTTGTTGTTGTTGTTTAGCATGCTCTCTGGACGGACACTTTGTGTTCACGGTCAAGGCCACGGACAGCCATCCACCCATTGACCCCGGCAGCCTTGCGATCAAGGATCAGCCTCACTGTTTGCCCGCAATCTCAACCTCAGACACTGCCGTCTTCAAGATGGGAGTCACGGACTGCGGCGCGAAGATGAGGGTAACTGTCACGCCTCAACCTGGTTTCATTTCATACCCGACGTTCGTTTCCAACAGTGTAGAAGAAGGAAGTTTAAACCGTTTCTCCTGGCAGTCACAATGGACAACAATCGTATGTATCCGGAAACTCCAACGTCTCTGTTACACCATCAGTATGATGATGAAAAGATGGACGGAGCTAAATACTGGATGGTACTGGAAGAAAATCTGGTGGAGGCTCCAGGATCAAAAAATGCCTTCCACTATAAACCTAAACTTTTAGTCCTGATCTAAAAAAAAAAACTGAGGCTCAGATTCTTTCCATTCAATTTGTGTAAAGCTATTAGACATAACCCAAAAGACCGAGAGCTACCATTGCAGCTAAATGTCCTTCTGTGGCATTTGAATGCCAGACTTTTCCTATGTACCCTGTTCCTTTCACTTTAAAATTCAGCACAACTTCTGTTAGTTTTAGTTCAAAATAGTTTCTCACTTTAAATGTCCAAATCAATGTTTTTTTATTGAAGGTAAAGTATTTGCTTTTTCTTTCTAGACAGATGGCCATCTGGTGATCTATGAGGTTGAAGTGGAGGAGCAGAACAAAAACAGGAAAAGACATTCACCCTTTCGGTATTGCTTACCCTTTCCTTTTCTTCTGGTGGTATAAATAAACTGATGAGATGGTGGAGTCGTTTTTAAGTCTGCAGGTTGAGTGTGAATACGACGAATCGGATCTGAAACATGCAAAAGACTTGAGGTCTTTGTATACCGTTACCAATCCACCGGCTGTAGTGGCAAAGGGAACCATGAGGGTGCAGATGAGATTAGCTACAGGTACCGGAATCTTTTTTTTTTTATGTTTTGTGGCTTCAGCTGCTCAAAACCCATTTCTGACCTACTTTGGTTCCCTTCTAGATTCTTCCTTTACCATCTTTATGCCAGAAGACCGGCTTCCCCTAAAACTTCCGCTGCGTGAGACGGTGAATGTGGAGATATCCATCGTCCCGCCGTCCCCTGACCCTGCACTCGCGCTGCGTGTGAGAGACTGCTTTGCCTACCCCGCGTCTAAACACTCTGTGTGGTCCCTACTCCATGATGGGTTAGTATGGTCTACAATGTGTCAATCATGCTGGAATGTCAAAGTGGAATCGTTCATGGCTTCTTCCTTTCCCCTGGACAGATGTCCTAACCCTCTAGACACCATGAGAAGCTCTGTCCCTGTGGACAACCAGGGGACAACCACCACTTACTCTCAGGTCAGGCGCTTTGATGTGAAGACCTTTGCCTTCTTGGACCCTGATACTGGCAAACAAAGTGTGGAACAGGTACCTTTATCGAAATTTTACATTTAGTTTTGGATATTTTTTGTTTTAAAATCTGCTTTAGCAATGCTAGACGCTATAAGACCTTTTTTATGATGCCTTAAATTAAATCTAACACAATACAGGGGAATATTGGAAGGTTTTGCAATCAAACATAACGCATCCTAAAATGTCTGGGGTCTGTTTCTCACACTGCATATGGCTCTCTGAACCCCCACATGGCCGAGCTTAAAAATATTGGGGATCTTTAGATTGTCCAAGCACAGAATGCGCTTAGCACAAATGAACCAACAATGATCATCGCCAAAGCTAACTGGTGAAAGATTCTCACCTATCTGTAATGGATGCAAAAAAAAAAAAAAAAAAAGCCGGCTAGCTAGAAGGTTATTGAGGGTATTTCAGCAGCTAGTTGTTGTTAGCCTCGACCACCAGAACACAGTGAAGGTGTGTTTGCTACCCAAAAGGCCAGCAAAAAACACAGATTAAATAGTTCTGCCACAACAAAACTTAAGAGCTGCAACTAGTATATTTAAAGCCAACTTTGTAGGAATTTAAGACATTTTAAGACCTTAATTTTAGAGGCACAAATTTGAGGCTTTTTAAGGGAAACCTTATTTTGATAATATAACTATGCTAGCCCAGACATGCGGTCCGTGGCTACAGTAAGTGAGTCTTAGTCATGTTAGTTGAAAATTGTCACTTTTCTTTAGAAATGTTGAAAATACTGAAGCGTAAATAAAATTTTTAAGAGTATGAACGAGGTGCATTGCTGCTGAATTGGCATAATTCCCTCTAAATATAAATACACTTTTAAAGAATATTGAGAGAGGGATAATGTTACTGCAATAAGCTTGTTTTGCATGTCTATACCAGTGATGTTAGTGAATGTGGCTCTTTTTAGATATACTTTTACTGTTGGGTGGAAATCTGCACAGAAGATGTGGACTGTGCCCAGCGTTGTACCATCATCTGTAAGTATGACTTTTTCATATATATATATATATTTTCTTCTGTTCTTTAACTGTGTTGTACCTCCGCAGCATCAGATGCAGAGCGACAGAGAAGGCAGACCAGTCCTGCATCCCGTCAGGTCCAGCTCGTATCCGTAGGTCCGCTTCAACTGGTCCACGAAAACGCAGAACTGGACGACCTTCGGAGTGGGAAACTGAGCAATGGTAAATATTCCAAATAAAGCGCTCAGTACGTTATTGATGATTACATCATAATGCAGCTCTTCTCCTCCTCTCCTAGTGTTCAGTTGCTCTTCGGTCAAGCATCCGAAGACGCTGCTGCAAGCAGAGGGCCGACGAGCAAGCTCACTTTAAATAAGCCGAACGCGTTCTGCATTATTATTTGTAATGAGTTTGTTTTTGTTACTTTGCTCCAAGTTTAAGTTTCTCTTCTAAATTGTGTTTTTTGAGGATTTAGAGGAAATGAACTTCTGCAGCTCTTCTAAAAAAAATAAACTATTTCCATTCTTGCTTTGAGCACAGTTTCAGCCTTAGGGCTTCTTTTTTCCAATTATGAAAATCTTAGTAAAATTACAGTTTTGAGATTGTACACGGTTTCTGGTTTGTGAGAGACTCTATGATGCAGTGGGTTTAAGATCAAGGCATTTACCCAAGGAACCTTAATTGTGTCCATTGTTGTACAAAGGCAGTTACCAACTGGATAAATCAATCTGGGTGTAGATAAAGTACCATTTGCAATTCAGCAGAACATTACTAAAATGCATAAGATGACAGCTTTTAGAATAGAAAAACTCTGTAGTTTTTCTTTTTCTCTGGTTTATAGATTTATGCAAAGATGACTCAGCACTACATTCACTGCCCTGGCACAGCTGAGCAAATAACATCACTGCTTTCTCCTGCTAATGTGCGTTTCCTTGGACTGGTTTGGAAATGGGACATCTATAAAGAGTTGTTTGGAGTTGACAAAAGCAACTGATGGTTTGACAGCCATGAAAATACAAACCGGTTTATTAGATGAAATTCCAAGAATATGGTTCAACAAGATCACTTTAAATAAGAACAGAAAAGAAGTGAGATGAGTCAAAAGCGTGCGGCTTGCTTCAGTACGGTTTGAACTTCCTCTGTGCTCTCATCAGAGCGATTCGCTGTTTGTCCTCCTCAAACTTCCTCCTCAGCTCAGCGATATCTGGTAACGGATTAAAGGAGAAACAGTTCAACAACTCCTCCACCTCAATGAGCTTCCTTCGTTCGGCGCCGTTAAAATACAACGGACTCACGTTCTTTCTGCGTGTTCTTGTGCTGCCAGGTGTAGAAGTTCATCAGCTCCTTCCTCCTCTTCTTCCTCGCCTCCCTCTGCAGGGTCCTCTGGTTGGCGGCCTCGCTGTGGGGGCGGGCCTTGGTGCCCTTGTGACCTCTCGTGACCTTCACCCAGCCCTCCTCGTCCTCCTGCTGCTGCTCAGCCTCCTTCCTCTGCAGCTCTGCCTCCTGCGACGAGAACGAAGGATCAGGTTTTAAGTCGCTCGGACGTGGATTGGAGGAGCGGCGCCGCTTTTACCTGTTCTTGCTGCTTGTCGTAGTCCTGCATGAACGAGTCGACCGTCTGCTGCAGTTTGTCGGGGTGGATGATGGACTTTGTGTACTGCTGGATCCATTCTGTCACAGGGGAGACGCACCAATCAACACACTTGTACCAGAAACGCATCCCCACGTTTCACCAAGGCAACACAGAGCTGCTCTGGATGGGTAGAGTTAGATTTTTTTTCCCCCTCATATATCACTTTGCAATTCTTCAACACAGTTTTGGTTTGCGGTGTTGCCTTTGAGGCTTGTGGGAAACTTTAAACAGAATTTCTTCTGGATTTTGTTACTCTTCTAGCGACCTTTTAAAAATTTTTTTTTTAAATCCACTGCCGCTACTACAAAACAAAACTCACGCAGAGCTACGACCAACAATTTTCTAGATATGCATGCACAACTACATTTTCTACAAAAGCTAACAGATTTAAAACTATTTCTGAATCTAAAACTCTCGGATCTGAAACTCTACGCCGTGAATTCGCTCAGGGATCGTCAAGACTCGCTTGTGAACTTCCAGTGACTTCATTCACACAGATTAATCAATTGGCACAAACTCGTCTACAAAACGATCACTAGCAAAAAACCCTCCTTACCTTCGCTCAGTCAATATTTCCAACATTTTATTCTATTAACTTCATCAGTATGACGGTCCAGAGAAGTCATTTGTCATCATTTTCTTGCACCCAAAGGTTGGAACAACTTGCAAAAAAACCTCACTGAAGCTCAACAAGCTAACTTTGATATTGACATTTATCAACCCAGTAAAAACTATGATCACTGTACCTGCTACTCAGAACGGTTTACTTATGTCTTCGTGTTTAGTCAGTATGAATACGGTTGAAATTTGATTTTTCTTTCTGTGTTTTATAATATTCTTCTGTTTTCTGCTACGCTATGAAAATGACAGTTTGTTCCCAAACAGCTTACCTGCTTAAGTAAAGGATAACTAACAAAAATAATATGAATAAAATGTTAAAACAAACAAAATGAATCTGTAAGTGAGGAAAGTGAAGAAATATGTGTGGCATAACTTAAAACTGGCTACTTTCAAAAGCCTGTTGTGGAAATCACAGGAAAAACTCCTAAAATGACGATTCCTTGTTGCATTCCCAGCCAAGAACATTTCCGTCTTGGTTTCGCCCATCGCATAAACTGTAGAAACTATCCAGTGTGTGTTTGCAATGCAAAATGTGAACGAAAGCTCACTCTGTACTCCAGTTTTCACTGGTCTCTGCTCTGTGCTGACCACCAAGGACTCATCGTGCGGATGGGATTTCGCTGCCGCGATGCTGGAGGAGCTTTCAAACACAACGTAGGCGACCTTGAAACCCTGGAAGACACGAATGGAGACACGATGACCTCGGCTGCTCTTGACATCCGGATGGACCAACCCGCAGGCTTGACCTGTTTGGCTGCTGGCCTGAAGACCGTGGACAGTTTGGGTCCAGACTCCTGAGAGGAACCTGGAGCATCCCTCAGCTCTACTGAAGCAACAACCCCAAACCGGGAGAACAAGTCTTTGACGACACTCTAAAGAGCAAAACAAGGGGAAAAAAAGGAGGAGAAGGGCAAAATGTCAGCCTTTGTGGTTACATATAAAACAGCAGGCCTGTTTTTGCTCCAGACTGAACCCCTCACCTGTGAGCAGTAAGGAGGGACGTTGAGCACGAACAAAGTCCGGTCCAGCGGCCTGTAGGAGGTCTTCTCTGCTCGGACTTTGTGCTCCTTCACGTACAGAGAATGACGCGCTGCGCCGTCGGGGCTGAACTGTAAGGGCAGAACTGCGGAGAGAGACGGGAGGAGAAACCAAAACATCAGGCGTCCGCAAAGCGATCAATCCCATCAAACTGGTCCGCAAACAACAACTTGTGGACGGGTCACAGGATTTAGCTGAACGCCGTCCTGCTGGAGTCGATAACTGCACGTAAGTTAACGGTAGATACCCGCAAATCCTTCAGGAAGAACACACGCCTGCTTGGTAGCATGTTTCTTCTTCGACGGCGCCATGTTGTGTGACCTTTCAACCGGAAGCGAATCAACTTTTCGCTTTTAACTTTTTTTTTCTTTTTAGTGGTTTTTTTTTGTTTGTTTGACTTATTGTTAAATATATGAGGCGTGGTTTGTGAAGATATACTCAAACATTAATGTCGAAAGATTAATAGTAACAAATGTCATTAGAAATATTGCAAAACCAAATATTTGTAGGGTGTTCAGTGAGTTGAGTACATAAATATTACCCAAGCCAGCTTTTAATAAAGACAGACCCTTCTTTGTTAGCATTAGCATGCTTTCCTTCTCCTCTGCTGCTTCCAGGTTGATCTTTATCAACCCAACCTTTAAAATCTATTGACTTATGTGCATTGTAATAAGCCCAGTCAGTATGAATGTTACTGTACTTTTATTTTTTCTGTTTTATGGTGTTTTGGTGTATGACGTACCACGTCAAGGGACCCTTGTTTTGATCTCCACCTGCTTGCTCCAGTTAATGTGTCAAACTTTAGGCCCGCAGGCCAAATCTGGGCCCCTCCGTAGCTTTTTAGGCCCGAGCAGCTAAGCGCTGCGAAGGCCTATTGTTTCTGTACTGTTTCTTATTATTATTATTATTAGGCCCGAGCAGCTAAGCGCTGCGAAGGCCTATTGTTTTCCTATTGTTTATTATTATTATTAGGCCCGAGCAGCTAAGCGCTGCGAAGGCCTATTGTTTTCCTATTGTTTATTATTATTATTATTATTATTCTTCCACCCAAATGAATTGGCTTTTTGGGGGCTTTATCATATTCAAAAACTCACCAAACTTGGCGGAGGCCTTAAGCCTGTTTAAAATTTACGTATTTTAAAGTCGTAGCAAAAATTGCAACAGAAATGTCTCTACGGCGCCACCTAGAAATTGGAAAAACACCCTTTTTTACCCTCTGCTATTCACTTACTTTATCGTAGACACATGAAATTTGGTACACTTGTAGAACTCCCCAAGACGCTCAAAATTTACAATTAATGTCATAGTGCAAGTATCACAGGAAGTCAGCCATTTTTGATTGAAGTTCCCATTTTGACCCCATTTTTGCCGATTTTTGCCATTTACAGCCTTTGTATTTGATCTATCTCCTCCTAGGGATTTTGATTGATCGACTTCAAACTCGGTCAGTCTGTTCATAAGGCATGTCCCATCTAAAGTTATCTAAACGGTGAGTTTTTGAGTATGCTGAATGGGGGTTAGCAGGGGTCAAAGTTCACCTACTCGCCATAAAAAAATAAACTGCTATATCTCTTACACAGAAACTCACAGAAGCATCAAAGTTTCTGTGATTGATCATCATCGGGTCTTCTACAATACCCTATGGTCGAATGATGACATCACTTAGGCCACGCCCCCTGAGAACAGGAAGTGTAATGTTTTACTGTGAACTGTCGCTATCTGACCCCTTTGACCTCATCAACATGAAACTGTGCCCAGACACAGAGAACATGTTGGTGTATTGAGGATTCTAACCCCGACCAGCTTCGATGGAGCAGGTGGGCGTGGTGGCGTGGCGAAGTCACCTGTAACGCCATCGCCATACGTTTGGCTCTCAATTCCACATTTTCGGGCCCAGCTGCTGCAAACTCATAAGGATGGATCTTCATCCACTCCCCGACAGGAATCCATCACAATATTTGGTGGGCGTAGCCTAATTTCTCTATAGCGCCCCCTAGAAAACTTTAAATGATCAGCCCCAAGCCATGCTTTAACCTACAATTACAAAACGTTGTACACATGTGTACCTTGTCAGGACTTACAAAAAAGTCTCTTGGAGCCATGGTCTAAACCCCACAGGAAGTCGGCCATTTTAGATTGAAGTTCAGATTTTGACCCCATTTTTGCCATTTACAGCCTTCCTATTTGATCGAACTCCTCCTAGGGATTTCGATTGATCGGCTTCAAACTCGGTCAGTCTGCT